TTTTTTTGGCTCATACTTACATTTTGTTATGAAGGGTACATTATTATTACACATAAAAAAGTATAATAAAAAATAAAGATGCATTGATATAAATAATGAAATTCTGTTATAGTAGTTATAACGTTATAACGTTGATTTACTGACGCTGGGGCTGATTTCTTATTTAAAGCAAGTTGAAAAAGCACCTGAGAATCAAGACGAAATATATAAATATATATAAATAACAAAGATTGAGATGTGAAACTTTAAAACCAGTCGCATTGTTTAAATACTTGAACTTACTTTCTTTTCATGATTCTATCAACAAAATTTTCTTGTTTTTTATGTATTTAAATAATGATCAATTCTATGATAATTTTCAGTAATATTACAGTCTACTAATATGATTGATTTATATAGTAAAACGTGCTTATATAAGTATATATATATATATATTGTGTTTATGACTTGTGTTTATGTTCACTAATTAACAGTCAAATAGGATCTAATTTAGTGAGTAACATTTAGATAGTATTCCAGTAGGAGAATAATGCAAGGTGATAAATTAGCTCGGCCCAAATTGGGCAATAAATTTGTCGTTTGATGGGTTTAATTTAAATCAGGTAAATAGGTACTGATTAGAACCATAAAACTGTAATCGCGCAGAGCAAATGTGAAATACTTAAGGATCATATGGCCTATATATGCGAGACGTCCAAGGATCGTAATTTCAGCAAGTCATAAAGACTGTGCCCCAGTTGATTAATGATTTTTAGAGGATGCATGAGCGGTAAGTGAGTATTCTAAAGTTTTCGAGGTTGAACTGGATGGATTTCGATCGTGCGGCTCGTCCTTATTGTGGCATCAATCAGCAGAGGCAGAGATGTCCCGTTACGTTTGCGTCTGCGGCGGCCTCTTCGACGAAACCAAGTTGAAACCAAGTCGAAACCATCGGAGGCGATTTGTTTAGTGACGAAAAGAGAAAATTAGAGAGAAAGAGACAGACGGAAACAAGCCCGGCCGTGTGGAATGGTGTATATATTCATCGACCAGTCACTACTACTACTACACTACTGAATGCTTAGAGACATGCCGGATTCAAATTGAAGCCAACATTGCTAACCATCCTAGACATGCACCAATCTATCTTATCTGTTTGAAAAATTAATTGGTATTTTAAAGAGGACTTTAAAATTTAACATTTATTATGTATCAAAGTTACTAAACTATTAAAATGTGTACAGCCGTCACTCTGTTAACATAGATAATCCGTACAAACATTGTCGTACGTTAAGCGAATGTATGTTAATCGACGTGAATTCCCACATACATGTATGAATTAACGATTTTTTTTAAATACGCGTGTATGATGTTCATACGAATGTACACATTGCTGACAACAACGTGCACATCAAATATTATACATTTTGACATATACATATTTCATTTAGAACATGACGTTCTTTCTCTAAAACGAAAATTGCAAAATAAAGATAACTCATCAACCATTTCGTACGTATACATTTATACGTTAGTTCGATCAGGGGCATAAATAATCATGTACGTATTATCAAACATACTTCAAATAAGAATGAAATATTGTAATATTTATTGATATCGAAATCGAACTTAAATTTGTGATCTTATGTTTATTCATTCATTTGAAAATATAAGAAAAATGTTGAAACTACACATTTTTAGTGTTTCTATAATGATATTAATATCGAAAACTAACTAGTATTTTTATTTATTTTTTATTGTTTTTTGGAAGTTTAGAATAAAGTGAAGAAAATCTTAATTTAATATTGGTGAAATTTAAATACAGCATCATTAATACTAGATTATTTTCAACAAAAGTAATGACAATTGTGGAAAAGAAACATAAAACTTTATTTGCTATTAATGATTCTAAGAAAAACATTGAGGTTCTTTGTATACTTTTCATTTCTTAGCATATGGTAATTAACCATGTGAACGCTAGTTACTAGAGTCTAGTAGAACTAGAATAACAAGTAAAATATCACATATTCTAATGTAAAATGTAACTCTTGTCCCAAATTCGTTATTATATAATTAATAATAATATTATCATCTAATTATATAGATTGTACATATAACAATGGTTCAATTTCATATTGGACATAATTTATTTGAAAAAAATAAATTTTAATCTTGATCATTAATTTTATTAAAGACAAACATTTTAAAATATTTATATAGTTTATATTATAATATTAATAAATTAAAGATAAATAACGGTACAACTAAAATATAACTTGATAATTTCACCGGGATCTAAAACTTAAACTGTAATTACACGGTGAAGGCGAGGTAAATTAATTTAAATTACGCAACAAAATTTAACACAAACTCATGGCGATAGAATAAAAATATACACAGGAAAATTAAATCACGGAACTTCGTAATTTGCAGCAAAGTTATACATGCTTCAGGATAAAGTACTATTATAATGAAACAAAAAGGTGAATATAATCGTTGATGTTAAGCATACAAAAGTTAACTGGAATTACAATTTACTGGATATATTTTTTTCAATTACTTCAGTTTAATTATTATTGTTTTACAAGCAAATATGTAAATTTTGTATCAAATTTACTTGATTTCTTCGCAAAACGTAAGATATTTGTATTATTATTTAAAATAATTCTTATGGTCATCAGATTCAGAAAAAAAATAGTCTAAAGTAAATTCTAAGAAATAAATTATTTCAATCTTAAAAACAGGATAATTAATTATAAGAAACATGTGAAAATTATGATATTTTTTGTATTCAGTCATATTATGAGTATATAAGATATATCTTTATTTGAATTTATTTTGATCTAAATTAATACCAAATTTTTCTATTCAGGGTTTCAATAAACGCTTGAATATATTGTAAATAATCATTGAATGAATAAACTATGTAGAAGTTAAGAACAGTAAATATAAAATTAGAAATCCAAAAAACTGTCGACGTAATGATCAAAATATGAAATTACATTTTAATAGTAACAGACGTAAAAAAGTAGAGAAAACTCAATAGCGGATTCTGTCATTTTGTTCCTTTTCTGTATTTTTATGACGTATTTTTTTGTACTTTTTACCATAATCCGCTTTTGCCTGTTGATGTCATGCTGATTTTATTCTGTCACGTTGTATTTCCCATATATTCCGTACATAGTTACATATCTGTCGACGTGGACATCCAGTCATGGGTATTCATTTTATTCTCTGTGAAACATTTTTCACACTGAACACGATTTTTCCGACAACATTATCCATCTCAATCTTTTGTACATAACATAATTTAATGTTTAGTTACTAGTATTATTATTAATATTAATCATTGAACAAAAAGGTATATTTCTTCATATATTTCTAGTTCTTAATTATAGTGGAACCTCGCTTAACGAATATAACCCGTTGCTAAATTTCTGGATTTTTACTTGTATAGTGAAACAATTTTCACATATTATTTCATATAATGTAATATACTATAATGCGTTACATTTTGGGAGTAGTTTTTCTTAAAAAAAAAATTGCTCGTTAAGCAATGTTCCACTGTATTTTATATACCTCGCTTAACGAGCACCTCGCATAACGAGTATTCTGCTTAACAAGCAAAATGAATTATAAAAAAAATGACTCGCTTAACGAGCAACGTTTCGCATAACGAGTGACGATGAAAAGAGAAATCCGGGATTGCGCGCTTGCTATATTATTTTTAAAACATGTGTACACATATTATGTGTATTTTTTAAAATGTTTCACTATACGAGTAAAAATCCGGAAATTTTGGAATGTATTAATCTCGTTATGCAACGTTCCACTGTATTTTACCAAGTTTAAAAAGAAATTTACGCTACAAAAACTGTACATTAAGAATTATATGTACTTTGCATCTTTAAATATTTGCATCATCTGTTTGTGATTATATAATGTGATGAAAAGGAATTTTCTTTATTCTTTTGGTGATGTCGGTTTACCTCCATTGTCCTGTCTCTCCTCATTATTTTCATTTTCCTTGTCAGTCCTCATCAAAGACATTTATTATATAATAATGTGGTAAGAATAATTAATTTAATTATAACAGAAGAAAGGTTCAGTGCAAAGAGTCTTTAATATTTAATGAACAAATATTATTTATGTATTTTCATAATTTAAATTTTACTTCTTTATATTTACTAGACAACGAAAATCACTTAACCATTAAAAATATAAAATTATCTTTCGGTGAACGCATGCATTTATGAATGAACTAGAATATTAACGTGGAAAGTTCACTTGAACGAATAGGAAATTGCTGGAAACAAAGTTTTGGAAACTTTATGGTTTAATATGTAAAAACCAGTAAAGTATCGAATGAAAATAAAATTAAAATGTAATTTTACAATGTATTCAAATTTATTATATTTGCAACTTATAAAATTCGAGGAAATACGAAAATTTCATATATGAAAAATTCATTATATAATATTTATTCTTAAATATATTTGTTTAAGTATTTTTATATATGAGATAAAGTTAAATTATGGAAAGAACAAGAAATTTTGTAATTTCAATGTTAAAATTAAGTTTTTTAATTAATTCAAATTAGTACATTTTTAAATAATTTTGATATAAATCTTAAATTTTGCTGTTATATTAGATAATAAAATTTTTGTGAATTATTGGATAATAATAAAATCTTAAGCTCTATAATTAAGTCATGTATCATATAAAATAATAATGATTAAAGTTAAAGAGCAGTTGAATTTTAGATCATTGATATAAAGATTATAATAAATATAAATTAACTTGTTAATTATTGAATGTAACAAGTTGCTAAATATAAACTTTTTAATTAACTCCAATAGTGTAGAAAAGAACAAATTCGTTTCTTAAATTACATAAGAAATTGAAGAACGACTTGTATTCTAAGAGTGGGGATGGTCGGCTTCAAATTTTCAATATGGTCAGTATAGGCGATGTCATGGTCACCGACGCGAATCCAGACTCCAGCTGCTGTATCCACCGAATGACCGTTAAGCTTTACAATCCAGATGCTCCAGGTCATCCCAAATCCTGCAGAGGCATCGATATCTAATAGTAGTTACGATATCTGTAATTCGGGATTGCGCCATACGACAAGAACACATAGAGAGACAGGCGGTTTTGGTATCGAGCGGCAGCCGAAAGTTTACCTGTAGAGTCTGGTCGCAGGTACAAAACCAGCCTCGTGAATCCCCCACTACCGTTCACCTTCCTGCTGTTCCTGCTGCACGCTCGTTCGCTCCGTTCGTACTCCAGTAGGTTTCCATGAACGACCAGAGGAAGAGGAGAACCGTTCGAAACGCGGAATCCTAGGCGATCCTCTCGCGACAATTCCTGTATTGTGTGATTCAGTGATACCTGTGCTAATTGTGACATGAAGGATTGTGACGAATGAACCGAAACGTTTGAATAGGCGCACACGCATTCCGAGCAGAGCGGTATCTTCGTATCCCAGCTCTAATTGCAAACCTGGGAATTTAAATACCAGCTCAGGATCGAATAGAAAGAAGCAGAACAAATATATATAAAAAATACAACCAACAATCTCGAAAGGTATGTTTTTATTCATTTCTTTAAAACTATACTTTTAAATTGCATTGAAAAATAATGTCATTTACCTACAAATATTACTAAATTGCGAAACAAAAATAACATTAATATATTCTTATACTTATAATAAATCAACAAATGTTTACAAGAAAGTCTATAATTTAAAGTAATTAATTATAGAAAATATTTTATTATTAGGAATACATACTTTGGTCGATAGCCTAAAATGCCAATAAAATATGTAAAATAATCTTATGGTTTTCTTCAAAAAAAGTAAGATGTTTTTCTATAAAATACGCAATAATATAACAAATTTTCTAACTAAAAAACATACATACATATAAACGTTTCTGGCGATAATAAATATATTATTACATATGTGAAACAATTACATATATAAACAATTATATAAACAATTATATAAACAATTTTATTATTTATATAAAATAATTTAGTCAATTTGAATTCTAATTTAACACTTTTATTTATGTAAATATTTGTAAATAGTTGTAAATATTGCAATAAAGATAGATATTCTTCAAATATATAATTAAATTTATTTTCTATTTTTATTATACAACCTGGATGATAAGGGTATTGAACATATTTACTCTTCGAGTTTCCTATACAAACTCCAAACCAGATTGATTGATTCTATTTGGTCTTAAGCTGCGATGACAGCATACCGATCTGATATAGTAGTGGGCAATTTTGGGGATACCGATAGTAATTCGCCATAAATCATTCAATTACGATGATCTAATCTAACGTTAAATAAACATATACACGGATTAGCCTTGATCCTTTTTCGATTCAATTAATTCATTTAACATATTGGTCTGTATTTTATATGTAATTATACATAATCGTTAATGAAAATAACATTATATTTTAATGAGTCGATTGTGTTAATACGTACAATCGTTGTCAATAGATTTAATAATATGGTGTTATTTTTTTCTCTATTGAAAAGAGATATTAACTTATAATTATTAAATTATTCAATCGTTTTGTTCAAGACTGCTTTCGGTTCGACCATGACGCAATCAGGATTCGCTTGATATTTTAACTAATTGAAATTTGATGCATTCGATTTCTGCCAATTTGCTAATGGCTATATTCAATGTGAACCGTTGCCAGTTTCAGCTGGGATATTTACTGAACATAGAAACATAGATTTACTGAATATTGAACATAGATCATGGAAATATTATGGTTCGATAATAAAATGTCTTTCGTCTTATAAATTGTAACTGTTCATTTAATTAATGCGCATACTGTTTTAGAAATAGATTGCAATTAAATTAAAACAGTAGACAGTTTTTTTCTCTACTTGAATACGTTAAATAATCATCGATTCCGAAGTCCTTCAATCTTGATAACTATGTAAATTTGAGTCACATTAAGACTTGTAACTTTAATAAATCCGTTTTTGTAGAATACTAATCGAAAAGTCTATTCCAGTAATAAACTTATATTCTATATCTCTTTCTCTATCCCTTGACAAATGGCAACGATCATCAATCTAAATACTTTGTAAAACTTTAAATCCAAATAACATTTTCATCGAAAACAACGAAAATTGTATTGTTGTGTAATTTAATATTTGTTTTAATCATTTTCTAATCATTTCAAGTTTCGTAAAAATAATATTTCCGTTTCTATTTAAGTACTACGAAAATTATAATATTGTGCAAGTTGTATTTTTGTTTTAATCAAGTTAGAATTATTCCGAGTTTCGTAATAATTGATGTTTGATTTCTTGTTAATTTCATCATTAGGTCAAATGTAAAGTTGATTCATGCTGTTCTTTTATTTTATTGCTTTATTAGTAAAATCAGATCGAATATTTAATGAAAGTCTTATTAATACAAGCTGTTTCAAAAGTTTTCTTTCCATTTATTTAACATTCACTTTTCCTAAGAAAAGTGAATATTCTAAAATAATACAATACTTTCTAATTATTATGTATTATCTTTCAGTAATTTTATGGTCTTTTTTTAAAGAAATATTAATTCGATTAGTCATATATTCTGCATGTTTTGTTGTTTAAAAAATCAATATGTAGGTAAAACTTGTACAATTTTTGATTCAATATAGTTATTGTATTGAAATAAAATAATTGGATTTATAGAATTATTCTTTTTCTACTATTTTATTACAATATTTAAATTGTTTGAATAATTTCATATGGCTCAAATTCATTTTATTCGCGTGATTGTTATGATTCAAACATTATACCTCACTAAATGCGGTTCCGCCAATATCCTGTACTGTTTGAAACCGGACTAATTGAGGACTTTAAAGTCGCACAAAAATTAACAACACTAAAAGAGACTTGATTGTATCAAAAACAAAATACAATCATTTTACAAAATTATTTTGTCCACTAATTTTTGAGAATTTATTTTATTTTGCTCAATTCCAATTTACTTTGTTTTGAAATATTCAAACATTAATGTAGTAAATCCGTACTATGTGAGGTATTACTGTATTTCACTCTTAGCAATGAATTTTCTTACATGCTTTATTTTTATATTGAAACTACTGTAAGTAAATTTGTAAAATTATATTTTATGCTGATATTTGTATAAATATACATTTATCATTTTTCATATACATATTGTAATCCTCTTTGAAAAGAAAACAGTTCATATTTATATTCATTAATATTTAAAAAAAAGTTTTCCTAATTGACTTGACCTCAGTTTTATTAATATTATTTTATAAACCAAGCGTTCCTATTTATATATTTTATAATTAGTGTAATTATCTAATTAATATAAATATAATTAGCTAATTAAATACTTGCACAAATATCAATATATGTTTTACTTATTTTTTGTATAATTTCATTAGCATTTATAATGACATTTCATGTCAACTATTGCAAAACTTTTCTACATCATATTTTCTTAATAATAGTATTTTTTATTAATATTCCTTTTTTAAGAGTAAATATTTAGAAAATATTAAAACGTATTTGTGCCTATACTATAATAACATTGCTTTTTCAGTGAGTCAATTTACTTAATATTAAGCTGAAGAGCATTCTAACGAAAAAAAATCGGGGTAATCTTATATAGACTACAAACAAGAAGATAAGCTAATGCAGACATAAAGATGAATTTACTGCTATTGCCGGGGTTACTGTCTAGCGGATATATCAAGTTATTACCTATTGTGGGGATTTGGCAATTTGCGGGATTTACCCTCAGCTCCTTCTGAATTGAAGTTCATTCCCAAAAGCTTCCCAAAAGCTTCCTGCAGCTTTTTTTGTATTATCCGCCAAATATAGCTGTAATAACGCGAATATTTACCATGCAGTACTGTAATACCTCACATAGTCCGGCTTCGACCATTCCGTATTCACTATAGACAATGCGAGGTATTGCTGTAGTTTGGTTAATAAATATAATATTACCAATTTCATTGTGCATTTACACAATCAATTTAGTTTAACATTGTTGCATGAATTTTTTAGTAATATTTGTGACAGTTCGGCGTATTGAATTCGCTTTGATTTATTAAATTTAACTGTTCCATTGAAATGGAACAATAGGATATGAAAAACCGAATATAATAAAACAAGAATAATTAAAAAAAAACAATTAGTTTTTAATCAACCGTGGTTTCACTAATTGAAAACTTTAGTTAGAGTATAAAATCTTCGTATTCTTTAATGAAAGTCTTCCAGTATAATTGTACATTATGTTAAGAAGATTATCGGTTATTTTTCAAGAAGTATACATATTTTGATGTTGAAAGATATTATATTTTTGTTGATTTTAATCTGGGATTTCTTGTTTCATTAATGTTAACTTGCAATTTATCCAAAATGAATGTGAGTTTAATGAATTTCATTATGTGAAAATATTTGATTAGTCAGAAATGAATTACATTCCTCAGCTTAATTAAATTTAATATTAAATTCCTGTACTCAAATAAACACACGTGATGTTTAATTAGATGTTTTGACCTTTTCGCAAGAAGAAATACTTGGAAATATTCTTAACAAATTGCAAATTACATCTTAGTGCTAAAGAAAGTTTTAAATTAAAGGGAACTCACAACAATGAGTTATTAAGATAAATTTAATATATTAAGATTATATGCAAGTGTATATTTTTATAAAAGAGAAATCCACAAAGTAAAGTAAATCATGACTACCGTTAATTATTTTTGTGCGTTAATTTAATTTGTTTCAAATGGAATACATTTCAGTTGAGAATACACAATGAGGCCAATGAATTAGGTTTCTTTTTCATTTATTTTTGAGTTTTTAAATGGCGCTTGTTTGCAAGAATTAACATTCAATATGTTTTAAGAGATATTGCAGCTCAACGAACAATGACAACTCTCATTCTCCACTTCACAAAGCTCCGCATTGTCCGATACTCTCGTTTTCTTTTTTTTACCTTCAGCTTTACCTTTACCTTCGATCGCTTTTGTTCCTGCAAACAATTCAATTACACACGTAACGTACAAAAATCAAGTCTCTCTTTTCGATTCCAATGCGAGGATGTATCCATTATCCTATATCTCGCACAGTAAACTGAGATCCCGAATGCATGCATGCATTTGTTGCTGACTTTTTTTATCGATTGAACTATCTCACTGTGTTTGCAGTCTGTTCCACGTGTCACCAAAAACTACTAAAAAATCTTTTACATTCAGAGCTCCCCATTTACAAGCAGTAAATGGGCAATAATAACATTCGATAATAAGTACGTCATTAATTATTATAACAATATTCATACATACGTACAATGAAGTCAGTCGGATCAGTCTGCTTGTATATTGGACATATTTTCGTGTAAAATAATATTTAAAAATATAGGGACAATAATCACCATTTACTAGTCAATAATTATAATAAATTATTATGTATATTTAGGGTGACCAGAAAATATTGAGACATGACTAGGATTCTTCACAAAATTTTGTTTTCCTCTATATACTTTGTCCCGAAAATACAATTTGGGACACTGGAACATCTAACA